TTCGGATAAACTTTTAGAACGCATAATTCCGGAGAAGATTACATTTGACCCAAGTTTCTATACTACTATCAGCGTACTTTATAAAGTACGATTTTTCTAAAATTTCCTAATTTTCGAATAATTCACAAACGAAACAAAAAAAATTTAGACTTGACAATGCAATTTCGTCTGATAGTTGAAATGCATTTGTATTCGAGTGAGTGTGGATTCTTGATAATATTTTCACCTTAAATTATCATTAGAATATGACGAACATTTATCACAAAAGATATGATAGCATACGCGATCCTTGTTTCTTCACCGTTATCTCTGCATATATGTTTTATTTGTGAGTAGTGGTTTTCAATGAATTTATCGAATCATTAACCTCTAAGCATTTTAGAGTAATTGGTACATTTTGTTTTTTTGAAAGAGAGCTTCAAACTTCAAAAATGATCGTTGGCCGTAGCTCTAAACAGAATAGCGACTTAACTTACCATGGGAACGTTCTCAACTGATTAATCGCTTTTGAATTCGAATTCTGTGTATAAGGTAGGCCCTAGTGAAATACGAAAAATACGAAAAAGATAAATCTTCTTAGACCTTCAATCCAGAGTTACAGGTCATTTTTACTGGAAGTGTAGTCTCTGGTAAGGCGGCATTTCGACCTAGGATTTTGCTCACAGGTATATCTATTTTTCAACTGAATGCCCTAAAAGTTTTAACTGAAACGAATATTTCCTTTCCAAGATAGTAAATTATTGAACTGAAGTTTCAGTAAAATGTCTATAACTCTGGATACAACGTATAAGGAAACTTATCCTTTTGAGATTTCTCATATATTATTAGAGTCTACCTTATGCACAAAGTATGAATTCAAGAGTGGTCACAATCGTTCGATTTCTAAATGTATTGTACTATTACTGATTATTCCTAATGTAGGCCAGAGAAGTAACTGCTTTAGAACTAATTGTTGTAATACCTTTTAGATGTAGGATCGATTCGATTTGATCCCAAAAAAAGACACAAATCGATCCCATCTCTGATCTTTTCCTTTTTTGGGGAATCGATGAACCAAAAAACCGAAAATTTTTCAAGATTGACGATTATCCCTACTTTCTTTCAAATAACACAATCAATCAATTAATTAGTATTCTTTTTTTCAATCATATATGTTCATCCATTTGAATCCTAATTGGTACTAAGCGAAAAATACCTGCATATAATAATTATAACTTACCGGTATTTTATTATCATGTTGAGTGTTATCATAAAAATCAGTTAAAAGAAAATGATGTGGTAATTGACGAAGAAGATAAACTAATGAACCTTCTTTTAATGTTGTACCAGCAACTGCTAATAGTTTGAAAGATGTTGTTATAGAAGGATTTGCATACTTTGCAATTGGTTTAATTATTTTTACTTCTGACATTTGATTTGAAGATTTTTTTTTTTTTTTTTCGGTTTATTATTTCAATAGGAAAATATCCAACGATTGAAATCCAATGACCAATTATGTATGAATATATAACGAAGTATTGACAGGTGATAGAATAGATTCTTTTTTTTTTTTTTTTCTTCCTCTCTTCAAATGACGTACCACCAATTGGAGACGAGAGAAATCAAATAGAAGAAAAGAAAGAATTGTCATTGGGGTAAAAAGAAAAGAAGGTATTTAGATAGTGTCAATCATCAAGTATGTATGCAGAGACATTATTTATTCAGTACTTTATTACTATTGAAGCAATGAACAAAGTACGGAAGTCATGAAACTGTTCTGCTTATTCCTATAACACTTATTCGATTTGTTGGCATGGGGATTCATCTATTGACGAGTCAAGTTTCATTGAAGTAGAAGATATACACAATCAGTCATCATTTTGTCTCCTCCTTCTCCTTTCTTCTTTTTTTTTTTATTTTATTGTCATTTCTAATCACTAAAGAATATTTAATTGACACTTAACTAACATTTCTATTTTTGTTCTAAATACATAAAAGAAATGATAAGCTAAAAATAAGTTTTAAAAGGACAATGACAATAATATCGGGTGTTGCTACTGTTCTCATCAATGATTAGATTGTAATTATTATTGACACGTGTTATTCATTGTTCCGCTATAGAGATCTTTTTTTTTTTCTTTTAATTTGAACATTACCATCATCATCATCATTGATATATAATCCGATGATGAGCTTACTACTTAGGTCTTCTTTTCTATTGTTCATTCATCTCACTTGAACCGACTTAGACAACAAACAAACAACACGTGTGCAATTATACTCTTCACTTTATGTATTCGATTAGCGCACATTTCCTTTTTTGTTTTTGAGAATGGAAAGACTCTTTTTTTTCTTTTCATTAGTGAGAATCAAGGTAGATAATTATTTAATCGTAAAATTATTTAAAGAGAAGAATGATGAATGCTGGTATTAATATATAATAGATTAAAGAAAGAAAAAACATTTCAATTAATGTAAGTTACTTTTGTTTTTCATTCTATTGAATTCACGAATACGTTTATTTAGTGCTACGATTATACAGAAAATGAATAACAATCTTAATAAAAATCAATCCAATAAATCGATCAATAATTCAGCTGAATGATTTCTAATTTATCAAAAAAAAAAACTTTTATCATTATTGATATACTTGTTGTTACAAACTTAAAGTCGAGATGTACGAAACTAAGTGTCTTTGATAAGGATGACTTTTTTCTACCAATCCTAGTCTAGATAAAATAATTCGAGAAATTATTTGTATCGCAGCTAAGAAATTCTTCCATAGTTGTTTAGTGATTTATTTAGTCGACAACTAGTACTTTTTTGGATCATCTCTCTTGAACTATGTTCTGATTGATATGATTTATAAGATAGTTAGTTGAAAACCGTAGAATATTAAACCTTATTTTTTTTGCTATGGATTGGGACAAATTTTCTTCTCGTAATCTGAGAGTTTTGATCGCAGTAATTTCTCTTTCTCGTGGCTCTGACCTCGCACATCTAGACTTTTGAGTCAGACAACACAGAGTTGATATCAAAATGAATAACTACACGATAAACATTGTATACGTGTATTGGTTTTGTCGACATATACAATCACTTGCACTAAAATGAATGATATTGATCGACTGAGAGCATTTACGAGAATACCAATCAAAGTGTTTCAAAGCTTTTATATTCATATTTTTGCCGAAAAGTAAGAGATTCATAAATTCGAAAAAAAAAACACCACCTACACTAGGTGCTTCTTTTGCTACTTACGAGATAACTACCCCAAGTGATTCACCGCTTTTGAGCTTATACTTTGGGGATAAGTAGGAGACCCTGACACTAGAATAACCCTAAGAGGGTTTGGGCTCATGCACCTGTGGGGCTGAGTTATAACCGTTTTACTCGATTTT